AATGGCACACTTTACTCCACTTAAAATATTGCCACAGTCTCAGGATCTGGTGCACATATTTATATGCGATATTGTCAGGTGACATGGTATTCCCCAAAATATTGTGTCTGACAGGGGTTCCCAATTTGTGTCACGGCTCTGGGGGGCATTCAATAAACAGTTCGGCATTGAATTGTCATTTTCCTCTGCTTACCATCCCCAAACTAATGGTACAGCTGAAAGAGCTAACAAACCACTTGAGCTGTATTTACGTTGCTTCGTGAATAGTACACAGTCTAACTGGGCTGAATTATTGCTGAATTTGCAAGGAATAATGCTACCCATTACTCATCTGGGCATAGTCAGTTTTTTGTCAATACGGGTCGTCATCCTGTTGTTCTCCCTGCTGTTTTTTCTGATACAGCTATCCCTACTCTGGATGATCACCTTTCCTCTATTCGTGATACCTGGACTAAGGTTCACTCCTCTCTTGAAACTGCGGATGCTCGCTTTAAGTTTCATGCGGAGAAACGGCAGAGTGCCAATCCAGTTTACCAGGTGGGTGATCGGATTTGGTTATCCTCACGCAACATTAGGTTGATGATTCCCAGAATGAAGTTTGCTCCGAGGTTCCTTGGTCCTTTTCGTGTGGCTAGGAGAATCAACCTTGTTTTTTATTCTGTAGCCCTTCCAGCGTCCTTACGTATGCCTAATACTTTTCATATGTCCTTGCTTAAACCACTTGTTTGCAATCGGTACACAAGTCCGGTTGTTCCCCCTCCTCCTTTGATTGTTTCTGGACAGGAGGCGTACAAAGTCTCCTACACCATTTATTCCAGGTTTTCTCATGGTTCCTTACAGTATTTGGTTGATTGGAGGAGATATGGGCCTGCTGACCGTTCTTGGGTTTCGGCTTCTGATATCCATGCTGGCCGTAAAATTTGTTCTTTTCATGCCAAGTTTCCTCTCAAACCTGGTGCTTCCCACCCGGTGGGTGGTCTTCAGGTGGGGGGTAATGTCACAAATTCATCCACACATAAAAATGTGGTTAATGGCATTTACCATCCTGACAGGAAAAGATGTGCCGAGCAGCATTACTGTCCTGACAAGAAAAGTTGTGCCGAGCAGCATTACCAATCTGACAGGAAAAGTTGTGCCGAGCAGCAATCATGCACATGGAAACCTGGTAATTGCTTTTAGGGTCAAAGGCCGGTCATGGCCAATCAGATTCACAGGAGGGTTTGTGCTGAGCAGCAATCATGCACATGGAAACCTGGTAATTGCTTTTGAGGTCAAAGGCCGGTCATGTGTATTAGTGAGAGTGTGTGATACTGTGTGTGTATGTCAGTGAGAGTGTGTGTGTATATTAGTGAGAGTGTGTGAGCATGTCAGTGAGAGTGTGTGTGTGTATATTAGTGAGAGTGTGTAAGTGATACTGTGTGTATGTCAGTGAGAGTGTGTGTGATACTATGTGAGTATGTCAGTGAGAGTGTGTGTGAGAGTGAGTGAGCATGTCAGTGAGAGTGTGTGTGAGAGTGAGTGAGCATGTCAGTGAGAGTGTATGTGTGTATATTAGTGAGAGTGTGTAAGTGATACTGTGTGTATGTCAGTGAGAGTGTGTAAGTGACACTGTGCATGTATGTCAGTGAGAGTGTGTAAGTGACACTGTGCATGTATGTCAGTGAAAGTGTGTGTGTGTGTGTGTATATTAGTGAGAGTGTGTGATACTGTATGAGTATGTCAGGGAGAGTGTGTGTGAATATTAGTGAGTGTGTGATACTGTGTGAGTATGTCAGTGCGAGTGTGTGTGTATATTAGTGAGTGTGTGTGAGCATGTCAGTGAGAGTGTGTGTGTGTATATTAGTGAGAGTGTGTAAGTGATACTGTGTGTATGTCAGTGAGAGTGTGTAAGTGACACTGTGTGTATGTCAGGGAGAGTGTGTAAGTGACACCTTGCATGTATGTCTTTGAGAATGTCTGTTTGCTAGTGTGTGACCAATTTGAAGAGATCCTTATATATTAGATTATATTCATATAATTATATGTTAAACAAAAATAATGTTTTACTTAAAGTTCAGTGTCACATAAATTATGTTTTCTGTCCCTATAGTATTTAACCCACCATTTGGGTCACTTGACCCCCTTAAAAGTTAGTAAAACTCACCCTATTTTCAGTGCCACGCGGGTCCGCTGGCACTAGCTCCGCCCCCTTGGTGACATCATCAGAATTGCCGATTTTGAGCCAATCCAATGCTTTCCTGATTGCCCAAAATCAGCAAGGGGGCAGTGCCAAACACCATTTTGGCTAATCAGCACCTCCTCATAGAGATGCATTAAATTATTATTATTTGATTTACATAGCGCCATCAGATTCCGTAGCGCTTTACAGTGAATCAATGCATCACTGTGAGGAAAATTCAGTGTCAGCATGCTGAACAGCAAGGCTGCTTACTGTGCAGCCCTGAGCCAGGAAGCCCCTCCAGTGACCATCTGAGGAGTGGCCACTTGAAAGTGTCCCTAGGGGCAACGTAAACACTGCCTTTTCTCTGAAACAAACAGTGTTTGCATAAAAATGCCTGCATATAATGATTATATTCACCAGAACAACTGCATTAAGCTGTAGTTGTTCTGCTGACTATAGTGTCCTGTGACAAAAGGCGTTTTGTCACTGGTTTTTCATGTTACAAACTACCCTTTTCCCCTGGCTTATGGAGAAGCCTGAATGCCAGCCTCCTTCCCCATGATTATGGCCCTGGGGTGTATGGCCCTTTAAAACTAGTATATGGGCATGTTAAGACCTTTTGTGGCAATGCCCCTTTAAAACTGTGTCCCCAGTGTCCCTCCTCAACCTCTCATCAGCCCGTGCTAAACTTTAACCCCATGGCAACTTTATTCTGTTCGTAGGATCTGAGCACTGTTCGGATATATTGTGCGCTCAGATCCAAGCTATCTTGGGATAGGTTGAATGTGGAATGGGAATTGTGTATTTTTGCTGCTGTTGTGAATAGAGATATTTTCTGTACCTGGAGATAATTGGCTTACCACACCCAGTTAAGCCAATTATCTCCAGGATAGAGGAGAAGATAGACCGGCTGCACAGCCTAACTCTGTGGAATTAGTTTGGGGCAGGAAAGTCATGCTTGCACTTGGTCAAAAAGGACTTCCATCTAACTTTTGAACCACTGGACCAATTTGTATGATTTTGACCTATGTTTGTATACTGCGTATGCTAGTTCAGAATATAAGTTTTATGTGAATGTGATGTATACTTTTAAAGTTATGAATATTTTATGAAACTGTGTATTTTCCTGCTTGTGATAATTACATTAGCCCATTGTGTACAGTAATTCTATCACAGGCAGAGGGGAGGATTTTGCTGGAATGAATGGGAGTGTTTGATTGTATTGTACTGTTTTGATTGGTTGTTCCACAAGACCACGTGGGTGGTAACCTTGTGGGAAAAGTTGCATATAAGTGCCAATAAACCCTCACACTGTTTTACCATCAACATAGAGCCTCATCTCATGTGTGGGGGAAAAGGCTGCATTTACACTGGGGATTGCTATACACTGTATACTCCCTTGGCTATAATCTTTTAAGAGCTTGTTCCAGCTTCGCTCTCTGCAGGAAGAGAGGTTCGGTCTGCAGTGCTGATGGTGTCAAGTGGAGTGCATGGAGTCCTTGGGAAGCACTAGGAGCATCCATCAGCGGAGGTACTCCGTTGGAGTACTAGGAGCTCTGTTACGTGTCCCTTTAAGTATCACCATTATTGTAAATTAAATCCCACCAAATGCATTTAGGCAGCATGATTGTACCGATGGAGATATATATATTAGGCAGTATGAGTGTATGGATGGATGCATTGGGAAGTGTGTGTGTATTTAAATATTGAGCTATGTGTGTATGGATGATTGTTTGTAATAATCGGTATGTATGGATGTATTAGGGATTCTCTAAATGTCTCCCCAGGCTGTTTCCATTTTCTACATTTTTTACCATGTATCTGCTTTCACTTAAAGAGACACTATAAGCACCCAGACTACTTCAGCTCATTGAAGTGCTATGGATGCAGTGTCCCAGGTCCCTTAACCCTGCAAATGTAATTATTGCAGTTTAGAGGGACTTCCGGGCGTTTAGGCAACTTTGGGTTTCCTAACTGACGCTGGACGTCCTCACGCTATGCTTTCCAATGGGGAAATCCTAAAGGCATTGACATAGGAGGGAAGCTATAGTGTCAAGCGATAGTGTCAGGTCTTGGAACTATAGTTTCCCTTTAATGTCTACACAGTGCGTTTCTGTCTCTAAATGTCTCTTCACTGCAATTCAGAAGGGATCCCAAATGGGATTCCTAGCTGGTATTTAAGAAAGTAGTAACATTTTTGATAGACAGTGTAGCTGTCAGGTACTTTGTAGGAAAAAGATACCAAGATACAGATTAAACAGCGGAGTACTTTACAAAGTATCCAATTGCTCACTAGACTTTATGCAACATTGTCAAAAGAGAGAGGATGCAAAGTATTCCTAGTGCTGAAAGAAAGGAGTAACCTCTTAGAGTTTAGATAACCGTGCCTAGTTCCTTATACTCAATGACATTAATATCAATTCTCCATCAATACATGGTGAATACTTATCCACACTAATAATAAGGAGTACTCAAGCTGTGCGTGGGAGACCATGCGGATGGGGAAATTCCTGGCACGCAGGATGACATGACGCTTCCCAGTGTGAGAAGGGTAGCAGGTCCCCTAGGAAGCAAAGGGGGAAGCAAGTGTGGGCATAGTACCCTGAAACCAGTAATTTCCCGGTTGGTACCCTGTGGTGGCCTTGTGTAAAGGGACTTTTGCCAGCTGGGCGGGATGCAGCCCATGGTGGCAGGGTTGGGGATCAGCAACTAGACTGCAAGTGTTGTACCTTGGCGGGTGGTGGGCCTTCCCCTGAGGCTAGCGCAAGGTACAGAAGGTTCAGGATCGCACAGATCTCAGTGTGTCTGTCACCCACTAAGATCCAGGAACAGGGGTGGGATGTCACCAGAGGTTAGGAGAGGTGGGCGAGGTGTTGGTCATGGCAAGCCCCTGCAGGTGTCTTGTGCCGTCCGAGACAGGCAGTTCCAGGTGGGGGGACTACTTTTGGTTGAGTTCAGGTCGGGTGGCAGGAGTCGGATGGAGTGTCCTGTCCACGTGGCAATCGTGAGGGTAAGCGTGATGCTTTGGTACCACACAGGCACTCCCGGGGTCACGATGGGGGGTAACTGATGAACAATACATCCTGCCCTGGACTTCTCCCTCTGTTTTCAAGTCACTGAGCAGATCTTCTTCCATGCATTCCCGGCATCGGGTGGCATCCCCGGTTGGCATGCAGCTGGCAGACGTGCTGCGTCCTGGAACTGAAGACTATCTGGTTGCAGACAAGCGGCCTTCGCAGACGGGAGGCTTGGTCAGTGAGTTGGATACAACCATACAGTCTCGGTAAGACTTTGTTTCTTCAGGGTGGCGGAGCTCAGATGGCTTAATTGTTCAAGGTCTGAGCTTGTGGTAGCTGAGGGAGAGAAAAGTTAGTGTTAAATAAGGCTCTCTTTTGCTAGCCATAAAAGTAAAAGGTAGTTATTCCAGGTTAAGAAGCAATGTTAATATGGTTCATGGTAAATTTTGCTAGGTTTCAAACTCGTCGGTGGCTCAGAACCTGGTGGGTGTAGGGGTATCCGGGTATACCACTACCATGGTTATTGAAGTATTTGGCACTTTACCTATGTACAAGTTATGATGGCATTGTTTGTTATATGTTAACGTTTATTTATTTTACAGAAATGGGTCATTGCCTTTCAGGACTTTGTGGGCCACCTTATGCTGTATGTGGGGATTGGGGTGCAATGATCCTTTTCAATACCCGAGAACTTGATGTAATTACTGTGGTACACTCTTATGTGACGTGCCATGGGGATGTCCTTCTGTGAAGTCACACAGTCGATGTGCTCCACTCTGCTCGTTTTGAAAGGGCAAAACTTTTACCTACAAAGCATATCCCAAACATGCAGGTGAGTAGGTAAATTAGCCCTGCTATATTGCAGTTAAAAAACTGCTTGCTCTGGAGTACAACTGTACTGTTAGATTTAAGGATCGTTTTGGAATCCCTGGAGATGAACTTAAAGGCAACACAGTGAGAAGTGGCACCAAGATGTTATTGAGGTTCTTCCCCCTTCTGGAAGTTAGAGAGGTGCTAAGAGAGAAGGTGTCTAACAGATGTTGATCTTGAGTAAGGAGTGGCCATAATCTCTCCAGGACTCTGTTCACTTTTTTCCAGCCCTGATCATAGCTGGCTATGCATCTAAAGAACTTAGGAGCACGTTCAGCCAGTGAGTCCTCAAAAGAAGACCCACCAGGTTCTGAGCCGCCCACCAACCAGCTCGACACCAACCAAACATAATACCAACAGTATAAACTATCTGCCTGACCAGATGCCTTAAAACTATCCCATCCTTTTACAACTAAAACCTTTTACCCCCTAATATTACTCTTACTAACCTCGCCGCTGTGATAAAACAGGGAATTACTGATGCCAAACCCCAGGGAAGAGGGTCAAACTCAGTCAGATAAGTGAAATTTATAGTGACATGTATAAAATTGCAGTGCCTATTTATATTAGCCAAGCCCCTGCCAATTTACTACCTATCACAACCTAACTCCACCTAGCCCCGCCTCCTAGCCCTGTCATGGGCCCTATCCACTAAGCTGTGCTTGTTACATGGGGGTACAATAGTGTTTGGTAAATATATATTATAATGTAATTTATAAAACGTGTCTATATATGTTTAAACTTAACTTTCCACTGGGGGATACAATGTATTTATATTTTAAGTCTTTAGGGCATTTTCCTCCTATCTTTACTAAGTATAGAAAGGCAGAGATAGCTATAGATAGTGTGATTGTTCCCTGTGACATCACCGTGACATCATCCTTGCTGAGCACAGTTCAGTCAGTAGACATTGCAAGGCAGAGATAGCTATAGATAGTGTGATTGTTCCCTGTGACATCACTGTGACATCATCCTTGCTGAGCACAGTTCAGTCAGTAGACACTGCTTAGACAGTAGACACTGCTTAGCTGCTGTGGTGATAACGTAGCTAAAGATGGGAGATAGTAGAACTATTTTCTCGTGTTTTTCATGTGTACGCTGTGATGTAAGTGAAAGACTTGATTTTCTGTATAAGGTTCCAGTTCTACATATTATTATCTGAGAGTTTGATCATGTTAAATCCCCAGTGTAGTCTAGGATGGGGTAGAAAGAGAATACAGATGGGACCCTTTATATGATTATTAATGGGGAACACTGGGGGGTTACACACAGATCTAGCACAGTGACAGCATATGGTTACTGTATCAGTTTTCGTGGTATGAACTCCTTGCTCCTTATTATTTAAATTCTTGTATCTCACATGGAAGTATTATAGTGGATTGTAATTAAGATGCTCCTGATTCATTCATTACACACACATATATATCAGCATATAATAAATATATATCAGGACTGAGAGACAGCACTGAGACAGTAATCCTAGCAGCAAAGTAACAGGCACTCAGCACCAGATCAATAGAAGTGGGGTCTACCACACCTGACAGGACCCGAGAGTCCTCCCAGACAATCCAGCATATAGTAACCGGGTACAAGATGTTAGCAGGGACAGCACACACTGACAGACACAACCAAGTTACTGAGATTGTGTATTGAAATACCTGCACTGAATATGGGTTGGACAAGGTAGATGAGAATGACAAAACTAAGGTCCTGTGGGATTTTCATATCAAAACAGACAAGCAAGTACTGGCAGACCAACCTTTCATCGTGGTGATTGACAAGGAACGGTAGATTGCAATGGTGATGAATGTGGCAATACCCAATGACCATAACGCTAAGAAACATGAAAAGGAGGACAAATACTGGCCTTAGCATGGCTTTTCTCCTACTCCCTATTCTGAGCTGTCTAGTGGATCGGAGGTCCAGAGTCACAAGGTCGAGGAGATTGGACAGTGCACGCTGCAATTTTATTCCCATTTGTCCGTCCAGACTCTGCTCTGTGAATAACATACATTGTTATTGGGTGCAGTCGTCAACATTCCCTCGTTACTCTGTATTACAGTCCAATCACCACGATGAGCCAGAGCTAAGTTTACTGTAATAATTGGAATAGATAAGAAAAGCCTCAATAGAGGATCTTCTTCTGGCAAAGACCTGATGGTTTACTGATCTTTTTATTTCTGCCTTTTCAGGTCAGCGGAACGCAAGTTATCGATGTTAACGAGCAAGGAGCAGGGGAACATCCAGGTACATTAAAACATTGTGTGTGTGTGTTATGTATATATGTAAATGTGTAACCATATATCACATCCATATCACATAGCCCATTAAAGTTACCAGGTTACCATATTTTTATTAAACAATCACTCCACACTTGAAAAAAACAGGAAAAAGTAAGATACAGAGGGAAAGCAGCTATGATTCATATGTTATTTCTTACATTATTTGTAAATACTGTTTAACACTTTAGTGATCGCGGACAAACCGGGTACGTCAGCCAAAAAACTGTTGTTAACCACCTCTGGCGTTCCATGTACGTCCGCAGCCAAAATGAGCGCTGGAAGCAATGGCATCCAGCCGCTCTAAGTGTATTCCACAATGCCTCGATATTGAGGCATCGTGGAATACCCCCCTACTGTGCCGGGCACCTAAGTGATTGTTCTCCCCGGAGTGATCACTTCCAGGTTTCCACAAGTGGCGCCCGGCAGTGGGGAGCAGAGCATCGGAAGCCTTCAGGCAGGCTTACAATCCTCTGCCTTTGCTGAGTGCCTCGAGGGGTTGAGGCACTCAGTAATAGTAAAAAATAAATAATAATTATAAAAAACTAAATTACAAAATTAACCCTCTTCCCTCCCTCCCTCTCCCTCCCCATGTACTTACCAATCACCACCGTATCCCCGCCAGTGATCGGTCGTCTTCTAAGGCTAGGCCCAGACAGTCCCCCCTCTGCACTGTAGTACCCCCAGGGGCCATGTGATTGCTCTAAAACAGTGGTCACATGGCTGCAATAGGTATCCACAGTGTTGCCAACAGGGGGACTGCCTGAACTGACAGGCCGTCCCCCTGCTGGTGAAAAAGTAAAAATCTTATATATAACGTCATACTAAGTGTATTTTTTTTAATAATATATACATATATTAATATAAAAATACTCAGAGTAAAATTACACACGTATGTATATAACATATATAATAACTTTATATTTTGTATATATATATATATATATATATATTATAAAATTAAATAATAATTAAAAATTAATAAAAAAACAATAAAAACTTTAATATTTAAAAAACATTATATATATATAATGTTATTCTAACTGTAGTTTGATATTAATATATATATATATTTATATCAAAATACTCTTGTGGATTATATATATATATATATATATATAAATTTTCATTCTATGTATATCTCCTTAACGACCATGGACGTACTGAGTACATTCGACAAAAAATGGTCATTAAGGACCGCAGATGTACCTAGTATGTTTGCGGCAAATAGGAGCACTGGACTTACCTGGATGGGTGATCCGTGGCGATCACAGTTGGGAGGGACTGTTGGGATCTCCCTGCAGCTGCTCCGGCCACCCCGGCCCTCCAGGGCATGGGATCACCATGATCAATATGTCTCAGTAGGACTCTTGGAGCTGCCAGCAGGGGGACTGTCTGAGCTCTCAGGCAGTCCCCCAGGGTGCTAAAAAGTAAAATAATATATATATATATATGTTGTGACAAAAGAAACTTCACCACTAACTTTTGGAGGGGCCTGTTTGCCAGCCTCCTACCCTGTGACTATGGCCTCTGTGTTCAACCTTATTGGAAAACACCAATTGTGCCTCTTGGACTTATAACAAGCTATGTTCAATTGGGACTATATGGTTCATTGCACCGAACAGCCGCACCAACAGAGACCACCCTGGAGCTTGTTGAGCTTAATTGATACTGTGGCAAAACTAACCTCGCCACTGGGCACTGGAGAAGCCTGGATGCTCGCCTGCTGCCTCTAGACTATGGTCCCCGGTGTGTATGACCCTTTAAGAACCGTCTGGGGACATATTCAGACTTTTTGGGACAATGCCCCTTTAAGATGGTGTCCTCAGTGTCCCCAGACTTGTTTGGGACAATGCCCCTTTAAGACGGTGTCCTTAGTGTCCCCAGACTGTTACAATCCTGTGTGCATGGCTTTTTCCCACTTGGTTCAGTAAATCTAGCTTACTGAACCAAGTATTGTATTGGCGGACCAACCAGAAGTGGAAGCGTGCGGCTAATTTACCTCCCAGGCTGGGAGGCTGCTGTAGGTAAATTGCCGACCGATGGGTGTCAGCGGTGTGTGCAGCCAAATCTATGAAACTGTTTTCGGCTACCCAACTGCACGAACACCGCTAACCCGTACCTTCTCCTCCACTTTGACACTGCGGCTGGAGACTAAGTCCTGTTTGGCGAGTTGAACACACGTACAGCCCAAATCTATGGAACTCTTTTGGGCATGAAAATGTGCTTGTGGTCGGTCACAAAGGACTTCAGCTAACCTTTTAACCCCTGGAAGGAATGGCCTGAATTTTGGATATGTTTATATTTAAAGTGTGCTGATTAATAATATATGACTTCTGTGGAGATTGAATGTATAGTTTTAACGTTACAGTACATGTATAAAAAGTATATTTTTCCTGCCTGTGATAATTACATTAACCCATTGTGTACAGTAATTATATTACAGGCAGAGGGGTGGATTTTGTGGGAATGAATGGGAGTGTTTTACTGTATATTATATGTTTGATTGGATGTTTCACAAAACCCTGTGGGTGGTACTTTATGTGTAAAATGTGTATATAAGGCCAATAAAGCCACAGCTCTGTCTGTTCCTATTTGACCCTCAACATAGAGCCACGTCTCATGATTGGGGGATATGGCTGTATCTACACTGGGGGATACACTACATACTCCCCTAGATATAATCACTAAGCTCTTGTAAGAGCTTGTTCCAGCTTTGCTCTGTGCAGGAAGAGGGGTTCGGTCTGCAGTGCTTATGGTGTCTGGAGAAGTGCTTGGAGCCCTCGGGATGCACTAGGATCATCCATCAATGGAGGTACTCGGTCGGAGTACTAGGAGCTCTGTTACATATACATTGTTGCAATTTCCACCGCAAGGGACTAAGTGTTTGTCTGGTTGGCCGCAACTCCTATGGACCACCACGAGGTGGCGGCCATCTTGTTGCATGGACCAAAACCGCGAATAGACTTCAGGGGGACTTAGCCGCGAATGTCCTGGAAATATTTTTAACATGAAAACCTCACGGTTCCCGGTTGGTCCACCAGCGGCACCTAGCCGCGATTCTATGGAGCTATTTTTGTCTATGGGGCCATGCTGGGTGATTTTGGATATTTTGGTCACTGAGATCGGGGCTACCAGGGGATGTAACATTTGTGGAGTTTTATGTATTTTTAGGGTACTTTTGGGGTGTTTTAAAAAAAAGTGTGGTCTTTCTGTGCTTGGAGATAATTGGATTAGAATTAGTACAGTTACTGATCCAATTATCTCCCAAACAGGGAGGAGGGATTGTATATTTGTTATGGAAGTGTCGGGCATTTAATCACTGTTCTTATTGGTCTGTGTCTTTGTGTTGGAGTCCCCATCAAGGTCCATGTGGGCGTACCCCTTGCATGGGGATTGTCATAAAAGGCCAAGTGTGGCTCCCATTAAATTGAGATTCGTTTACCCTTCATGAAGTCTTGGCTCATGCTTGGGGTATTGGAGAACTACATTCACTCTGGGGATTGCTATATCACAATACTCCCCTGAGTATAATCATTAGCTCTTATAAGAGCTGTTCCTGCTATGCTCTCTGGACTAGGAGAGGTCTACCCACTGGAAGCTGGATCCTGGTCTTGGGTCCAGGGTGGATGGAGGACGGCGACACCCCAACCAAGCTGCGGCGGTTCGTGGGGTTTGCGGTGGTTATGGTGTTCCAGTGCAGTGCTTATGGTGCTCACAAGAACTAAGAAGCAGCGATTGACGGAGGTACCCAGTCGGGATGTCAGGCAGTTCGTCACAATGTTATACATATATTATATATGTATAAATAATTGTATTAATGTATAAATAATTTAAACATTTTATAATATATTACACATATATAATGCATAAATATGATTTCATTAAAAGTGTACTTTGATATATATATACACACACACACACACACACACACGTGTTATATATTTATATAATATAAATTGCAAAAAAAAACATTTATGAAAAACAAAGTGACTTGGGAAAGCCCGGGAAAACGGGGCGAAACGTGTCAAAGTGCTAACGGCTCTTGGGGCATACAAAGAGTGATCGGAGGTACCATCCTGAATACCCGGCATCTCTCCAACACCAGTGAATTACACGGCGGAGAGACTTCAATTCAGCTGAGGAAACTATTTTGATGGACGGTATCACCCTGCTGCTGCATATTACTGTGTTTTAAACCACTGAAGTTTATCTCAACTACAGAAATGAACCCCTTCAACACTCAAGAACTTTGGACATCTGTAAAAATTTTTATATTTCCAACTCACACCATGAACATTAGTAAGGTTTAGTGGTAACCAATAGACATTCTGTGTAAGCGATGGTTATTAATATATTTTTTTCTTTTTAAGAGTACTTGTGAGCACCCTTTTTTATTTTGATGAGTTTTTTTCTCACATAGCGCTAACACGTTTGTTATTTTGTTACATTGTATATGTGAAATTAGGAAATTTCCAATGTGTTGTTAGCTGCTTGTGTTTATTTATTTGTTTATCTTCTAATTTGTTACCAGTAATCTGGTTATTTATTGATTTTTTTTGCGCTCTCTTATTTCTATATATTAATACCTTAGGTTTTCTTATTTTAAAAAATATATACATGTGAATGGCTATTCAGGGATTCCTACCAGATATCAGTGTTACAATGTAACTTGCGTTAATTTTGAAAAAAAAAAAAATGGTTTGGAAATAGCAAAGTGCTACTTATACTTATTGCCCTATAACTTTCCAAAAAAAGCTAAGAACATATTAATATTGGGTATTTTTAAACTCAGGACAAAATTTAGAAACTATTTAGCATGGGTGTTTTTTATGGGTTGTAGATGCATAACATTTTGGGGGTCAAAGTTCGAAGAGGTTATTTATTTATTTTTTTATATAAGATTTTATAATTTTTTTATAGTAAATTATATGATATGATGAAAATAATGGTGTCTTTAGAAAGACCATTTAATTGCGAGAAAAACTGTATATAATATGTGTGGGTACAGTAAATGGGTAAGAGGAAAATTACAGCTAAACACAAACACAGCAGAAATGTTAAAAGAGCGGTAAGAAGATTGAAAAGTGGTCTGGTCACTAAGGGGTTAAATAAAAGCCTTATGAGATGATTTATTACATAATGGGTGTCTAACCTGTCCCTGTAAAAATAGTTTGTGTATGAAACAGTGCCTGATACATAAAGAAATATACAGAGAAACCTTATAGAAATGAACTGTTTAGTACTCTGACACATGAAACTGTCGATTCCTTTTTACCATTGACATAATAAAATGTATTCATTTGTCTCCTAGCAACACCTGCTATCAGCACATTGGAGAAACGCATTGAGGAGCTGGGCCACCGATTAGTGATCGAGCGTGCCGTGGCTGAAGGAGCCAAACGTGCCATCAAGGCATTAGATCATGGAATGCCACTTGTTCAGGTCAGTTATAAAGCGTATCCGTTTAACCATTTCATCCCCAGAATGAAGAATGGGCTTTCAATGTCTGTCTGGGGCTTTGTTGGCATTAGCCAAGTAGCCATGGTTTATTATTAATATTATTATTATTTATAAAGCGCCAACAAATTCCTCTTGATTAATAATATACAAGTTACACATTTATATTATCTTTTCTGAGACTTTTGTTGTTTGAAGTCTTTGTGGGACCATTTGTTCTGTATTTTATTTTGTCTCTATAATGCTTTATTTAAAATTCTTCCAATTGTTTAATTCCTATTCATTTTATTAAAAGCTAAAACATGTTGTATGTTCTGTATTGATCTGTCGTTATATCCACATCAATCTATGAAAATCCCTGCTAGCCGGTCTTTGGTTTTCCATTCAGGAATCAAGAAATGTACATGTTTTTTCAATAAGTTCTGAATTATAGAGAATTAAAATCTGAATTACAAGACTGAGACAAACATAAACATGCTCTGACTAAAGCCGAGATGGGATTTTTCACTATTCACTAATTTTTGTTTAAATATCTGCAGTCCAGACTTTAGTGATTAATCCTGTAGAGTTTTTATACATTGAACTTGATGTAGAATGATAACCATTTATAAATGCAATGCAAGGATGATCCACATTATTAGGAACTGTGTGTCTAACCTTGGATATCAGCTCGTGTTGGACAGCAACTTCCAGACATATTTGCCAGCAGATAAAGTCTAATCTTCTGTTGATCCTTCACCTTTTTTCCATTTATTTTTTTTAACAGGCTCAGTCAATACTACAGGAGTCAAATGAAAAGCTTGACCTCCTTAAATATTCCTTGGAAGAACGAGTGAAAGAACTTCCTGATGGCCATCCCAGGAAGAGTATTGCCACCGAGGAAATGTTCTTTGACTCAGTCGAAACCAAGCCCATAGCACTAACGGGTAAGTTCTTTTGTCTTTGAAAGGAAACAAGACAAACATATTTAAAGGACCACTATTTTGCCAGGAAACCAAACTCGTTTTCCTGGCTCTATGGGGTCTTTAGGTCCCCCCCCCCCACCCTCAGGGTCCCACTCCGGCCAGGCTCTAGGGGTTGAAGGGGTTAATCACTTACCATTCTCCAGCGCCATGCTCCCTCGGCGCTGGGGACTCTCCTCGCTCTTCCGACGTCATCTGCTGAATGCGCATGCGCATTCAATCAGTCCATAGGAAAGCATTTCCTATGGACGTCAGCATCTACTCACTGTGATTTTCACAGTGAGAATCACGGAAGCTCCTCTAGCGTCTGTCAATGAGACAGCCACTACAGGCCGGATTAACCCTAGTATAAACATAGCAGTTTCTCTGACGAGCTGCAGGGTTAACCCTAGATGGACCTGGCACTGATTGAGCTGAAGTGGTCTAGGTGCCAATAGTGGTCCTTTAACACTGAAGTATCAGAGCATGTTTCCATCTCTGTGAGGTCTGATTGGAGGGATCTCGCAGTTAGTCTACCGATATTCCAGCAGGATTTATTTTGCATGGCGTGAATGCAAGCTTAAAGGTGACCGGTGACATTTCACATGATAACAATATGAAACCAGCCTGAGAAACTCTCATCATATTTAAATATTTAATATATAAAGATTAGTATAAATTCACTCTCATGTCACAGCTTTCTTTTGAACAGACAGTCAGGGTATTTCTTTCAAATGAACTGAGCTAGCTTTGGGTGTATCTTGTTATTGAGTGAATTAATAGGATAAAACACAAGGTAAGCATTACACTTAGAGAATAATTTACTAATGGGACATTAGATAAATGACTTTCCTTACTGTCTAAGTCACCGGGTATAATAATCTGAATATGTGTAATTTACATGTTACTGAGGATTTGCCCATTCTCGGTATTCTCATGAATTCTGTTTTACTTTATTGGCATTATCTTAGTATCTCCCTAAATGTAAAGGTTAATCGTGGACTCCTTGTTCACTTTGCATAGAGGGGTTTTAGCTTGTATAACGTGGGCTTGTTGCATTCTGGTTCTGAATTACTCTTGTGTGTTTACAAATATCTGATAATACAAATAGTATACGTTTCCTATCTAATGACACAAGTGAGAAAAAACTTGTTTGAGGATCGAGCAGGGACTAAGTGAAGCTACTGAGTTTTTATCTGTTTATAAATTCTGTTTTGATTGATTTATATCCGATAAAGATGTAAAAGCTGCCTTATTATTGAATATTCTGTGTGTGCTACTTAGACCAACCATGAAGTTCCCTGTAACATAAATGGTATATTTCATGGTTGCTAAAGGTCTATTTCTTTCTATAAATATGCCGGTTTACAGAGATGATAGAGTGGTGGTGGAATCCATAAGGGAATCTCATATCTGATTATTGTAGGAAATGTACTGAATGAACATTTGGTGAGAGGAGAGTGAATATATTCCTGTGATGACACAAGTAAAAATTTAATAGTCATTGTAACAATATAAATTCTGATTGTTTGACAGGTACCCTGAAAGTGCGAGTAAAGGGCTGTCACAATATTCTAGAGAATGTACCTGGGAGTGTAAAAGACCCGTCAGTTGTTCTCCCAGGAAACAGGACACGTCGAGGAAGATTCTCATTAATGAGCCGGATCAGACGAAACAACCGTGTCGGCAGTCAGAACATCCAAGAGACTGTTGGCTTTTCCAGTACAGTGATTTTTATCTTATATTTCCCATTATGTGTCCAGTGATGCTCAATAACAGAATTCAATATCTGGGGTATCGAACCTTTACCCTCCAACAGTGCTAAACTTTCCCACTATTTACTGACAGAATTGGGAATCAGAGTCCAATAACATCTAACAGGTCACGGTTGGACAAAATACAAAACAAAGGAAATTGTGCTAGAAAAAACAATACTATAAAATTATAATATGGGAGGTAGCAAACCTAGAGTAGGGTTACCTCTCAGCCCTACTAGCAAGAATAAAACAGAAGGTAAAAAGAGGTTGCACCAAAGAAATAAACTAAATACTAAAACTATATATCTAAAAAGAGTCCAATATCAATTTCAAATTCAAACCACAAAAAACGCCCCAAAAGAAGTCCTAACACAAATCTTGCCGGAGGGATAATCAACAGTCTTCGGGAGTAATGTACTCTGTAGGAGCCGGATGGGAACAACTTGTGGGATCCGTATGTGAAAACAAATAAAGTGCAAGAAGTCCAATAAAAATCGGATTATAGAGGCAACAGGGTCTAATTCTAATGTAGTCCTACTCACGTTTAATAGAGCTATAAACTAGCTCTAGTATGAATGGCATACAGCGGTACAATCCCCACTTGTAGGATATGTGATGAGATGTTAATATCGCAGTAGTTTGTAGATCATAAAAGGGTAAAAAAAGGGGAGACAACTAATAGTGCTCTTGTATAAAATTTTGATATCCTTCCGGCATGATTTGTATTAGGATTTTTTGGGGGGCATTTTTTTGTGGTTTAGGTTTAATATTGGACTCTTTTTAGATATATACTTTTAGTATTTAGCTTCTTTTTTTTTTGGCGCAACATTCATCTCTTTTCCACGGTTGGACTAAATCTCTATTGGAAACTTGGATCCTTTAACTCTGTTATGTTCCTGTTTGGGGAGAATGGAGGTAAAATACAAATATTATCTAATAGTATTATCTGTCCTTCTGGAAGACCATGCCAATTAATCACATTACTGCATGCGTTGTCAAGGAGATAAGTTTTACAAAACATATTTCCAGATATTTATCTTTGATTGCCACCAACTTATTTTACATATTGGTCTCTAAACTTCAAAAATCAAGGAAATACAAAGATTTTTCAAGCTGGAAGTCCTATCTGTCAAATTTATGTCCTCCTCTAAACAAGTTACAAGTTGCCTTTTGAAATGTCCTTGTGGTCCATGTGGAGAATGCTGGCTCATATTATACCTTACATTATCGTCTTAGCTAATCAATAGACCAGATCTGGACTCCTTGCCACATTGCTTATTTTCAATGTTTCTTTGGAATTACGGTTTTACTATTCCGAGACTTGATCCCAGCTGACAGCCTGACTTTAATTATGATTGTCTGTTAATGCTGATTATTTGTTAATGCTGATAACATTTCTGACTCTTTGTTAATACAATGTTTCGGGGTATTTTTCTCATCCATTTCATTCCCTTTAAAATATTATTAATACATGTATCTAACAATGACATTGTGATATATAACACTACATTATTAGGTATGCCTGTAAATTTATATCCACTAAAATCTGTTGAATCAAGACTTTAGAGTGAAAAACCAGCTCTAAGCTACGTCCTTCATCTGTTGGAGTCCCCCAAGGCTCTGTCCTTGGTTCCCTTCTATTTTCTCTTTATACTTCCTCTCTTGGCAATCGCATTACCTGACATGGATTCCAATACCACCTGTATGCTGATGAATGATATATTCATTATCTACATTATATAACTACCCATGGCCCCGATATATTCATTATCTACATTATATAACTACTCATGGCCCCGATATATTCATTATCTACATTATATAACTACTCATGGCCCCCGATATATTAATTATCTACATTATATAACTATCCATGGCCCCGATATATTCATTCTCTATATTATGTTACTACTCATGGCCCCGATATATTAATTATCTACATTATATAACTACCCATGGCCCCGATATATTCATTATCTATATTATATAACTACCCATGGCCCCGATATATTCATTATCTATATTATATAACTACCCATGGCCCCGATATATTTATTATCTACATTATATAACTACCCATGGCCCCGATATATTCATTATCTATATTATATAACTACCCATGGCCGCGATATATTCATTATCTATATTATATAACTACCCATGGCCCTGATATATTGATTATCTACATTATATAACTACCCATGGCCCGGATATATTCATTATCTATATTATATAACTACCCATGGCCCCCGATATATACATTATCTACATTATTTAACTATCCATGGCCCCGATATATTGATTATCTATATTATATAACTACCCATGGCCCCGATATATTCATTATCTACATTATATAACTACCCATGGCCCCGATATATTCATTATCTACATTATATAACTACCCATGGCCCCGATATATTCATTATCTACATTATATAACTACAGTAATAAGATATTCACTTGAGATAAACAAGATTTAAACTTTATTGATACATTTCCCATCTTTCTCTACATAATACCTACCAGTGTAAGTGTCACCATGTATACACTATGTATTGTACCTGCCGTTTCATAAGTTGCACAGACGCTAGACACTACATAGAAGCATTTTTTATTGACGCTCTAATTTTGCTGGGACATGGACCATTGCCTGTTTGTGGGTTATAAGTACACGATAACTTTCAGACAAAGCAGGATTGACACAGATTGATTACTACAATAGTTTGGTCTATTTAAACCCCTGTGTCAACTATTGCAGCGCCCATATGGCTCTTTAACCTTTAAATGACTTATCTCGAGTGACCTCAGCTTTTGTTTGTGACTCCCCCGATTTCTCGAATTCTGACCCAGTTTCTCTATTCATAGGTTCAGCCCTTTGGCTGTTATTTAGACATGATATTTCCATTTTTCTCTCTAACGTTAAGCCCTATAAGGTCCGGTAATATAGCTGCCTATGTTTCCTACTCTTTTCATTGGTAGGAACTGGCCTATTCTCTTCTTAGGGAACTAGCAGTTATTACAATGACACACATACAATTACCATCAAACTAGTTCCTTTTATTGCACATCGTGAAATGGTATCTAAAATTGTAAGAATATTATTTCTCAAGCTATCTGTATGTCCGGGCTGATGACATAATTACTGTAAGCCGGGTGATCTCTATCATTGCTTTTAGGTGTGCTCCCAGATAAGGGACTTTCCAGGGGTTCACTCTTATATACCTATCCACAAATCATCTTTAATTTACCTTGTCCCTGAATTTGCATAATACCGAGCATATTGTTCTGTACTAAGAGATTCTTAACATTACTCCATGCAGCAGCTCAAAAACTACATTTTAAGTTGGTAAACAGCCCCTATGCCCTACAATGGCCTTATTTATTATAAACTCACTAACCTGTTACTGTTAGATTGGTTACACAAACTATTTATTAAACTCACCTTGGTGAAACAATTCTTCTAAATCTGGGGACAATATGTATCCACAATAAACATCACTACCCAAAGGAAGATCGAAACTACAATATCTATCTATATCATGTTCCAAAGTCGTAGAAGGTCAATACCGAACTCCTTTACCCCCATCTAAACTGGGACTCACTCATCGTACAAACTCCATTCTTTACATTATTTGTCAAACAAAAAAAGACAGACAACAAGAACATCATTTTCCACATGTTTTTAGGGAATTAGTTCTCGTGTTATTTCACATACATCTCTCTCCTTGTATTCACACCGTATTTCCTGGCTGACATAAATAGGTCTAGTTTTTATTTTATTTTTTTATTGTTTCTTAAAGAATACAGGAATATAATGAAAACAAACTCCTAGAGTTTTGGTTAGAGATGATAGATGAAAGTTTATACTGCCATCTGTGTTTTCACCATGGCCGTCCGTTGATTACATTCTCAATAAGAAATATGCTTTAAAATAAAAAAAACTCTTAGCCTTTTAAGTTGAGTTCCTGAAATTTTCTTACAGACAAGGTCCGTGCTCAGCTGAAGATTGACCATATTCCAGTGGGTTCCACCAGATGGAAAACGGTGTCTAATCAATTCTGGAATGAGAAATTTAAACTGGAGTTAAATAAGGTACGAATGTCATTAAACTCAAATATATTCACCCTAGAAACAGACATTTTCCATAAATATTACATTAATTTTGTTACACATAGGAAAAGTAAAGTAAAAAATAGCAAAAATAATTAAAAAATAAATAAATAATCTTTGTCTTGGTGATAGTTTTAAGCTATGTTGATGCCTGTATTATTTTTATTTTATATTAGTGTGAATATTACTTTTGTATGAATTAACATCCATTGGTGGCCCCAGGTAGAATTTCAAACAATTTATTAATCTGCAAATCCTGTGGAGTTTTCTAACCAGTCTAAGTAGATCTCTTATTTCTAAACCTTTTAGGACCTTAATGTGTCTTGAGCCAGAACCCTTTGAAGTTATTAAACACTGGGTTTATTTATCTTTCTCTAGAAATTCTTATAGGATTTTTTTTATAAAATCTGTGATATATTACATATTTTAGTTATTTGTTAGAAAACGTCTGCCATCTGGACTTTTGGTTAAAGGGATTTTGTCAAACATTACCTACCTAATTGCCTCTTTTCCCCAATACATGAGCTTGTCATGTGAATGAAAAATGTATAGGTGCGGACTTTCAATTATAGTTTCAAAAAATACAAAAATATACTTTATTAAATATACTATATAAAAGGGTTTGTAAAGGAAAACATTTCTTTCCTTTTTTTGTTTCAATAACTATTGCTCACTTAATGTGTACATAGTCTCGGGAGCTGGAATTATCTCTATATTGGCACGATCAGAGATCACTGTGTGCCACAAAGACGCTGAAGTTGGAGGAATTCCTGGTGAACCGAAAACAGGAACTGTGCCTACAGCTGGAGCCACAGGGCACCCTTTTCATCGAGGTGAGAACCAGTCTCTGGACATCATAAATTCAGAGTTTTTTTAAATCTATTTTAATGTATTAATACAGAAAACAAAAAGATGATTAATTTACACAACTTCACAAATGAAAGCTTGTGAAATATCTTTATTTTTTTTCTCTAAGTGTTTAAATGTAAGAGCGCTATAAAGGCTAAATAACAAATTGTAAGTGTAAACTGGATTGTAAAATCTAGGCAGACTCGGTGATTTGGAAGAATTCCCTAAGTCAGTTATAGGCACAGCTTTTTTTTAGCTTAACTTTGTGGCTTATTTTTCAATTCCCAATATTCAGCACTTAGTAAATAATCACTTCAATATATACGTCTTATTACCTACATGACCGCTTGTAGTATCTTTAGAAAGGTTCTCTTTTTGAGATAAAGGACACTGTATCAACTGATTTACTGTTTATCTAAATGACGAGTTTTGCTCATTGTGATTAGCTGTAGAAGAGCAGATTTGAAGCAATTTTCCATTTCTGAGTCTGTTTATATGTTGGTTTGGCACAATGGGGATATTATCATTTACTTCCTGCAGTTAAAGGGACACTATTCAGCTCATTGAAGTGTTCTGGGTGCAATGTCCCATGTGCCTTAACCCTTGCAATGGTAATTACTGCAATGATTAACCCCCCGCACCCCTAGACAGCCACAACTTTTTTTTCCTGGCACTATAGTTTTCTTTTAACTCTTTGTTTATTTTGGACTAGGTGACATTTTCCAGTCCATTAATCCAGAAAAGTCCAAAACTTCAGACAATTAGGAAGTTCTTCTCCAAAAAACAAAGTAAGTGTACGTTTAACATGTCTTGCATTAAATAGCAAACTGCCCAGGGGCCTTTAAAGGCATCTATCAGGGAGACTATATTATAACCCTTGTACCCCAGTACTAGCCCCCCGTGTGATAGAAAACTTGTCAAGCAATGTGAATGCGCTCAGTAACCAGTGAGGGGTTTCATGTTTCATTTTCTCACAGGTAGATAGACTGATACATGTTCATTCACTATAACAACCATAGCGCAGGATGTACATCTTATACCATATGCAGTATACACAGATTACATTACTTATACCTACCTGAAGCTCATTATTTTCACTGGATGCCAGTTCCATTAAACACTAAAGACATTGCCATTAGTAGATATTATTATATAGAAACCGTGACTCACAATGAATACGTTCAAACAAAGCTCTAGGCTTGGAGATTGCATTCCTTGTTTCTTTTTCTGCTTTTACTTTAGAGTTTTCAGATTACGATGAAGGTAATCAATCCAATATTGATCTCTGTGTATCATACACAATTCTCGTTTTATGTTCTCTGTTACTTTTATAGAAGTGACTATCCAACCAGCTCCAGAAGAGGAAGCAGCTATTGACATTTTTCCATTGCCAGTATTGCACATTGAGTGCTTGGATACATCGCTGCCGGCTGTCGATAATGATACGGAAGAGACCATCCAATCCGCGTTACAGGAGGATAAAATATCTGAGAATCTTTCATTGCTAGTAGCGGATATTGAAAGTGTGGAGCCAACGCCACTAGCTGTCCATATTGATACGGACGAGACCATCCAATCTGCGTTAGAGGAGGATATAATATCTGACAGTCTTTCATTGCTAGTAGCAGATATTGAGAGCGTGGAGCCAACGCCACTAGCTGTCCATATTGATATGGAAGAGACCATCCAATCCGCGTTAGAGCAGGATATAATATCTGACAGTCTTTCATTGCTAGTAGCAGATAATGAGAGTGTGGAGCCAACGCCACTAGCTGTCCATGTTGATACGGAAGAGACCATCCAATCCGCGTTAGAGGAGGATATAATATCTGGCAGTCTTTCATTGCTAGTGGCAGATAATGAGAGCGTGGAGCCAACGCCACTAGCTGTCCATATTGATACGGAAGAGACCATCCAATCCGCGTTAGAGCAGGATATAATATCTGACAGTCTTTCACTGCTAGTAGCAGATATTGAGAGCGTGGAGCCTTCACCACCAACTGTCGTTACCGACACAGAGGAGACCACCCAACCATCGCCAGCAGAGGACGCACAAATTGAGGTCACTACTGTCACAGAAGAGACCATTGAACCAGCTCCAGAGGATTTACCTATTGACCCTGTTCCTTTGCCAGAAGCGGATGTCAAAACCCTAGAGCGAACATCGTCAGCTGGGTATTCACATCTTTCTCATCAATATCAATGCTGTTAGCTTGTACTGTATGAGCTTTTTGGTTTTGGCATTTGTTTTTTCCCAAGGGAAAGGCTGTATGAGTGATTTTAAATATACATATTTCTAAATATGTTCTTTTATTTTCAGAATTCATCAAGGAGCTTGGCTGAGCCTTCAGTATTTTGATTGTCTCTCTGTGTTGGGCAGAGGACAATATGGAAAGGTGGGTTTTGGGGTGAATGCCAATTCTAGTTAGATATAAAAGATATCTAAACAAATGCTATCTAACAACAATTCCAAATTTTAAATTTCAGGTTCTGCTTGCAGAGTACAAGCCTACAAAGACCACAGTCGCCCTGAAAGCCCTGAAGAAACAACGCTTAGTTGCACATGACCAGATTCATAGGTCAGTAAATGAAGAGTAATTAAAACTCTAGTTGGTTTAATATCTGTTTTAGGATGGTAGTCCTGTTTGCTAGTTTTTGTTTCTGATTGAAGTGTTCCTTTCAAGAAAGTGATTAAATTGGTTATTCCTTTTTATTTCTAAGGCTTATATATGAGAAGAACACCTTTCAGACCATAAGCAGCACACAACACCCTTTCCTGGTTAATCTGCTCGCAAGTTTCCAGACTGAAGACCATGTCTGCTTTGTGATGGAGTATGCCGCTGGTGGGGACCTACTGACCAATATTAACAACAACACAGAGTTATTTGACGAACCCACAGCTGTGTAAGTGTAAATATTTTGGGGATCATGATCACATATCTAGAACTCCAAACCAAATTTTGTCAGCTGGAGAGTTAAGGTGGACTAGAAATTGGATGAAGCCTAGACCGATTATGATAGAAGCTGACTATTAGAACCTCAGATACAATGCAGGAACTATGTCTGAGCATAGAGTGACAGAGGATGGTGGAATCAAATTGTTCAATGGTACAAAAACTTAATTTCCTTCCCTGAAATAAAACAGACTTATTGTCTTTTCTGCAGGTTTTATGCGGCATGTTGTGTGCTGGGCCTGGAATTTTTACATAAAAATAATATTGCTCACAGGTAAGTGTAAAGGGAAAACTAAAGATGGACATACAGTTATATTGTCCCCAAAAATATTATCTGTGTTATTTACTGTTGTTTATAATGTTGATTATAATGTTGTCAGTGTTTTGATTGATTATATTATATTAACTATTTGTGTTTTATATTAGTTAAGTCCATAAATCTAATCTTAAAAAAGTCTAAAGAAGAAAACCCTGATATCCAAGTGCCTCTAGTGATATTGAATAGTGAATAAAACTATTTTCTACATTTTAATCCAGAGATCTGAAAATGGGTAACATCGTCATAGACAAGGACGGATACGCCAAAATTGCAGACTTCGGTCTTAGCAAGCACGGTAAAAATATTTTTATATTTAGCGAAAGACATTTGTCATAAAGTTCCATAATTTAGCTTTACCTACAGACAAATAACATCCAACTGCAGACTGAATTAAACATATGAATGAAACACAAATTAATCAAATCAAATATTGATATAATTTGAAACGAGGCGCCATTGTGCGAATTCTGATCCAGTTGGAAGTCCAAGCAACGCTGGATGTCAGATTAGATGATGGATGATGATACAGATTTGTTGAAACCATGTAAAAATATGTAGAAAATTAGCAGATTCAATGCACCTCCTTGCAGCAGTATTCTAACACCACCTAGAAAAAAAATAATAGAAAAATAATATTGTTATTTAAACATTTTCAGCCTCAGTATTTCTTTGTACCACCGGGTTATCCACTAAGGAGCCTCTTAGACTCATAGCCTTAACAAACTGTATGAGATAATTCATAGCCTCAACCAACTGTATGAGATAATTCCTAGCCTTAGCCAACTGTATGAGATAATTCATAGCCTTAACAAACTGTATGAGATAAAGCATAGCCTTAACCAACTGTATGAGATAATTCATAGCCTTAGCCAGCTGTAGGAGAAAATTCATAGCCTTAACCAACTGTATGAGATAATTCATAGCCTTCCCCAACAAGTCTGGGGACACGGCCTTAAAGGGGCAGTGTCCCAATCTTCCTGATGTCCCAAAAAGGTGTTTAAAGGGCCAGCACCAGTCACATAAAGAGTCCATAAGCCCCAATATGCCCACCGACAGTCTTAAAGGGCCATACACACCAAATAAAAGTGCATACATTTTCACAATCTCCCAGGGGCCATAGTCATGCGGGAGGAGGCTGGCAAATAGGCTTCTCCACAACCCAGGGAAGCAGGGCAATTTGCCATTTAAAGGGCCCGTTACAAATAGCAGTTTGTAACAAGGTGGCAATCCATATCTGCCAAGTGACCCGATGTAGGGGGACCAGTCCCTATTCTGCTCTGTGTCAGTGTGTACCAGGGAACCTTAGGACAGGTGTCAATCCATATCTGCCAAGTGACCCGATGTAGGGGGAACAGTCCCTATTCTGCTCTGTGTCAGTGTGTATCATAATCCTTAGGACAGGTGTCAATCCATATCTGCCAAGTGACCCTATGTAGGGGGACCAGTCTCTATTCTGCTCTGTGTCCGTGTGCATCAGGGGCTCTGAGGACAGGTGTCAATCCATATGTCAAGGTGTCAATATGTCATATGTCAGGTGTCAATCCATATTGATTGTGATTTAGGAATGTTAGGTGATTTCTGCCCTTTATGGATTAAAACCAGACTCTGTATCAACTGTGTAATTTTCCATGGGAGTTTTGCCATGGATCCCCCTCCGGCATGCCACAGTCCAGGTGTTAGTCCCCTTGAAACAACTTTTCCATCCCTATTGTGGCCAGAAAGAGTCCCTGTGTGTTTTAAAATTCGCCTCCCCATTGAAGTCAATGGCGTTTCGGGCGGTTCGCCGGTTCGCGAACATTTGCGGAAGTTCGCGTTCGCCGTTCGCGAACCGAAAATTTCGGGTTCGCGACATCACTACGTATGAGATAATTCCTAGCCTTAGCCAACTGTAGGAGATAATTACTGGTCTTAACCTTATCTGGACTTTACTGGAGAATAGTCTATTTTCTACCACTTAACATTTTATCTTTCATTTATTTATTTATTTATTTTAAATAAAAATGCCTCTCCCATCTACCTTTCTCTTTTCCCTTGTCTGTGTCTTTTCTTTATTTTTTAACTTTTTGATGATTTCATTTAATTTAATTTAGTATTTCTCATTGCATAGCGGAATACAAGATTTTGAATGAAAACCTTTGATTTGCTCAATGAGTTTGTAATTTCAAAAAAAAATTATTACGCTTACATTATTGTGTACACTGTTTTATGATTCTGAAATGCATCTTTGGCTATGTAATGCTATTTTTATTTATCGACAATAAAAAAATATTTAAAATGTCAAAATAACATATACTGTATATCAGAAAAAAAACATAATTTACTGAAAGGAGACCTATATCTGTGTATTTACCGATGTACATGTATCTTTTCTCTTTTTCTGAGGGATGGGATACAAAGATCGAACCAACACGTGTTGTGGGACAGTGGAATACTTGGCACCGGAAGTGCTTCTGAGAGAGCAATACACAAGATCTATTGATTGGTGGAGTCTCGGCGTAATTATTTATGTAATGCTGGTTCTACAGGTAAAAATAACTTCTTTCTACCAATTAGCATTCCTCTTTTGGAAACCGAAATCCTTTGATGTCATACAGTCCATTGACGATCATGATAATATTTCAAACTATAGACTGGTGAGGCTTACAGGGCAAACCTGAGCACCATAACCACAACAGCTCATTGTAGTGCTTATGTAAATATCATACACTTTATCTAAACTTATTTTATCCTCAATTTCTTTATATTATATTTATTGGTTCTTGTTTGGCAAACCATTTACATTAGAGACATTTCCCACTGTAGCGCCCATGCCAACCCTGCAGGGCGGTCGCTCTCTCTCTTTGTCACAGTTGGGACGACGTTTTTATATTGTGTGCCCTATCTGTGTTGTGGGACATTTATACAGAGCAGATTATGGGCTCTCAAGAGTGTGAGTTCTATAAACCCTATTGTCACCTTTGGTTACACTCTGCACTATATTGTGCTTTCATTTCTTTTTACATATACAGTGTTTTATTGGTTAATAAGTTTGCATAAGTTGTTGTCTCATTGCCGTTTTTATTATTGAGTGGTTGTGATTTATATATATTACAATGTCTAGCACAATAATACATCATTTGTAACAAGAACCAACTCTTGCTTCTTGCAGTCTTGCTCTCTGAGCTCTAGGTATGAAAATTCACTTTTTCTAACTGTATTTTTCTATTAGAATCCCTTCTCTGGTGATGATCATGGACAGATGTTGTATAATATAGTCTATTCTGAGCCCGACTATCCGGAGTACTTGTCCGATGAAGCGCTATCAATATTAACAAGTGTAAGTTGAGAATGCATTCTTAGTGTTTTCTATTTGTGACATATCTAGCAAGCTGAGGTCAGAATTTTCCAGTCACTATTGATGACAAGCTGCCCTGGGATGAAGGAAGTCTCAGAGCCCTTTTGTCTGTTGTTAAGTCTGGTAGGAGACAAGCTATGGTGACTATATAGTTTTTTAGAGCTCCAGGACTAAAGTTCCTGCATGGAGTTCTGTTTTTTAGCAGTATAAGTTAAACTTATATTTGGTAATTGAGATAAATAGCAAGTGGTGAGCATGACTCATGCCATCGACCCGGGCACCAGAACACAATGACATGGTGACATAGTGTCCACCGTTTATTGAGCTCTGTATTAACGTACACAGCCCGAGCTGATGAAGGTGGATTTTACAGAACCTGCAAGAAAAATCCTGGAATTCTCATGTTTATCGGTTCACCGATTTCCATTTATTTTTATTTTCTTATACAGTTTTTGAATAAAAATCCCAAAACCCGTCTTGGAGCAAGAAGGAATGGAGCCCGTGATGTGAAGAAACATCCTTTCTTTGAAGTAAGTCCATGTTGTATAAAGTCCAGCCATGGATGTCCATTTCTTGTCTGATTTAGCCTAAGGTGTTACTGTCACCTCACAGGGAAAGATACATTCTAACAGTCAAACAGACATTGGGTTTTATTGTTGGGACTTTTACATAAATACTCGGTATCCCATGAGTTCCTGGGTTTATGTGCATGCATTCAGGGAATCATAATTACATTTTACCCAGCTAGAATCATCCAACCACCATCCACTTGTCTGCAGCACCCTGTATGTCAATAAACACTTCGAACGTGACAATTTCCACTTTAAACCTTTGCTATATATAACATATGAGCCGTTCCCTGAGCAGGACAAGTAATAAGCCAGAGTTAAATAACAAATATCTGATGCAAATAGAATTCCCAGATTTAACGCTAGATTCACTAGTCTTTAGGGAATGACATTTTTAGAAATGTGTGATTTAATAGTAGTTTAAGAATATTTATCAAATATTGGAGTTGGAAGCCATGGCTGTTGCTGAAGTTTAAAGATGGTGAGGTGCTGTCTGAGGGTTTATACCCAGAAAATGGACATTTACAAAACATATATGCCGAGGTATTGACATAATTAGTTGATCAGCCTCGGATCAGCATCTCCAGCCAATAATAAGGGGATAAGGGGTGGGGGGGATTGGAAACTGCAGATTTAATAATGACAAGTAAAACATGTTATTTCAAACGCACTCCAACAGTTCCTACCACGTCAATAGATGACAGATAAAATGTGGGTTTTTTCTAACACACACCATTAGTCCTTACCACAATAGATTAGAATTTTGTTTTTTGGGGTCTGTTTTACTTGTCCCTATGGACTACTTGTCTTTCTCATTTCCCCTCAAACCTTATTTTTCACAGGAAATCGACTGGATTGCGTTACTGCACAAGAATGTAAGACCCCCATTTGTACCATGCATTGCTGGACCGAAAGACGTCAGCAATTTCGACATTGATTTTACATCACAGGACCCCTGTCTAACGCCACCAGATGAGTTACTGTCAAAGGAAGAACAAGATCCATTCCAAGACTTCGACTGGGTGGCCGAATGGATGTGAATGTAGAAACAGACACCAGTGTGGACAGTGGCGGATCCAGCCTCCCTACCCTCCTTCCCCCCCCATACAAACACTGCCCCCCATACACACACTACACACACTGCCCCACAAACACTGCCCCCTATACACACACTACACACACTGCCCCACAAACACTGCCCCCTATACACACACTACACACACTGCCCCACAAACACTGCCCCTATACACACACTACACACGCTGCCCCACAAACACACTACACACACTGCCCCCATACACACACTACACACACTGTCCCACAAACACTGCCCCCACATACACACACACTACACTCACTGCCCCACAAACACTGCCCCCCATACACACACTGCCCCACAAACACTGCCTCCCCCATACACACCCACACACTACACACACTGCCCCACAAACACTGCCCCATACACAAACCACACACACACTGCCCCACAAATTGCCTCTATAATAATAATACTCACATACACCCACCACACATTACCACACATGCTGCCCCACAAGCACTGCCCCCATACACACTTCCCACAAACACTGTCCCCCAAACACACACTACACACACTGCCCCACAAACACTGCCCCATACACACACACTGCCCCACAAACACTTCCCCCATACACATTATTACACACACTGCCTACAAACACTGCCCCCATACACACACTGCCCCCCATACACACACTACACACAAACACTGCCCCCCATACACACACTGCCCCACAAACACTGCCCCCCATACACACACTGCCACCCTCACATACACACTGCACTGCGCGCACACACACACACTGCAGCTCTCTCACACACACACTGCCCCACACACACTGCCCCCTAACACACACACACTGCAACTTTTGACATACACTGACGCCCTCACGCACACACATCGCCGCTCACACACACACTGCACCTTTCACACACACTTCACTCCTAACACATACCACTGCTCATATGCCCTATATCCCAGCAGACCCCAGGTAAGTTGTCAAACTGTTCTTAAACGGTTTGACTACTTACTCTGGGATGGGATCCTGACACTACTGACGCTATAACTACTACACTGAGCTGTAGTGGTTATTGTTCCTGGATTATTTCTTTAAATAATCTACGAGTGCCCCTCCCGAGATCAGGCTCTAGATCCGCCACTGAGTGTGGACTTATTAACATCTGTCAATTTTATTATTCCAATAAAAGATTTATTTATATTTTCAATTAATGGAGTATTTACATGAGAAAATTTGTCCAACACATCACAAGGATATCAATTGGTTTATAGAAATAAAGAGACAAAAAAGGTAGATAGAAAAGAGAAGAAAGGAGAGTAAAAAATTCAGCAGACGGTAGAATGGGTCGTACCTTTCTAGAAACAGTATTTGTAGGTGTCTCATACATTGCTAAAATTTATCGAAAGTGGACCCATTTCAGTAAATAACCCGGAGTGGAGGACTGGAGCAGCAGATATCTTACCTTGCTGTCATGGATTGACAGAGAATCACTAAAGTGAAGTTAATTTCTTAGTAGAGGCGCAGGACTGGTGGATCGCTGCCTCCTCTTTCTCAATCTGCATTTGAGGACAGGCTTGCAGCCACCAGCCCTGTGACAGTCAGCCAGCCACCACTGCCAAACTCCCCTCATACAGAGCACAAACTGCAACCAGGTAGGAAGCAAGGACCTTTCCCATGGTAAGTCTTGGGAGAAATAAGTTGGTCAGTCAGAGCACTTTGATTGGTTGCCTTACAAGGAAACTGTGGCGGCCACCTGGATAGGAACACTGGTTTTGCCACCAAGAACGTCTTTTTCCCCCTCTCAGGAACTCTGCTGCATCAAATTCAGTAGTAGCGCTGTTGAAGAGTAGCGGTTCCCAAGAAATAGAACTCCAGAGCAGGTATAGCTTTCCCCCGCAGACATCAGTCGAGACTGAATGCTGGGAGTGAACTGACTTTATTAGGAGCCACACACGGCCTTTTATGCAAAGACCCCTACATGGAGTTTCCAACACAAACATACAGGGTCTTTTCTCCCAAGATCCTCTGTGCCCGAGAGATAATTGCATGAGAAAAAACTATAACCAATTATCTCTCAGGTACAGAAAAATCTACAATATTTTATAACTCCCTGTTGGACTGCTGAAAATCACACAGGGTGTGGAAACCCTGGAAACTGCCATGGACTTATGCACTAACATGTTTCTGCTGTCCTTTGTCTCTGTATAATCAGCTGCTGGTAAAACTCCATAAAGTCACCACTCAGATGGAGTATCAATCAGCATTCAAAAGTTTAAAGCGTCATACATGGTATATATAAAACACAGTTTGTCTAGGGTTGTATACATCAAACGGAAACATTAACCAATCATAGGAGTCTCGGAACAGAAAGTATACGTTTTCATATAACATTTCGTAATGCTGGTAGTCTCCTGTTAACTGATGCAAGTGACAGTATGAGATTAGGAACCCAATTAAAACTTGCAGGTTGCTAGAAGGAATGTTCTTTTTTCAAGTGCAGGATGTTTATAAAAAGAAAGTGAAAGCTGGTGTCAGGCACAAGAAGAGAAAAACATTGTATGTTTAAAAAATGCGAGTTTCAACCACTACTCCAATGTTAACAAGACATATCGTGTAGCCCCATGTAGCCAGGCGCAGCTAAGCGGAAAAAGGCCTTGACAGGGGTTAGGAGGCGGGCCTAGGAGGAAGTAAGCAAGGGAGTGGAGTTATGGGTAAGTAGGTTTGGTTATTTAAATGGGCAGCCATTTTAGGTAAGTCATTCTAACTTCCTACCTGGTTAAGTTTGTCCCACCCACCCTCCCTGTTTTGTTAGGTGTGGTTTTGTCCCGTTTTTTCACAGCGGCGGGACGGGGAGCTGAAGGAGAGGAAATAGGCTCCCCAGGATGAACGGAATGGAAAACAAACAAGTGGTGGTCATTGGTGGTTGATAGGTTTCGAGTCCTGTCGGTGGCTCAGAACCTGGTGGGGTAGGGGTATCCGGGTATACCCCTGCCGTGGTTAATGGATGGTTGCCACTTTACATCGATTGGAATAATGTTGATGTATGTTATATATATATGTTTATTTATATGGGGGTCATTGCCCTTTATATGTTAATGGAAGGAATAGGATGCGAGGGCGGAGTATGGGGGGCAATGACCCATGTTTACTTGTTAAGTTATTATTATTATTATTATTATTGTTATTATTATTGTTTGCTTAATAAAGCTGTGGACATATTTCCCCATATCCCTTAGTGTCCGTGCGTTATTGGGTTAGGTTATGGGGTTGTTGTCCTGGATTCCGACTGCCCAAAATGGCGACTATACACCTGTCATGTATAGTACCTGTTAAGCTAATCCAAATGTACACAGATGAGCTATACCTAGGCTTTTACACAAGCCATCAAAACTGCAAAATGTGATAACCACTGTCAATGCAAAAATAAAGAATTATAAAATAAAATAAAAAATGCGAGTTTAACCCTTTCAGAGCATGAGTATATTGTATTCTAATCAGGCTTACTGGCCATTAGGTATTTCAAGCTATGTGTACGGTAATACTTTAGCTACGTAATAAGAAATATAGAAGCAGAAAGCAGGACATGAGACTGACACCCTGTAACATTACATGTATAGCTCTGTATGTCTAGGGGAATATTCACTAAGCATTGCAAAGGTAAAACTATTTATTCTCCATCACCCCCAAAACAGATAGAATACAACCATGTACCCCCTCAAGCCTGGATCTGAGCATATAACATATCCAAAAAGCGCTCAGATCCCACCAACACAGCCTAATCGCCACTGGGGTAAAGTTTTGACTGACAACACACAAGGAGCTTGCCCAAAATATTTCCAGGAGAAAAGTGGTGGCGGTCGGTTTCTTTCGGGAGTACGAAAACGTATAAAATACCGAACATATTCCATAGCTGTTATGTATAGAGATTGTTCACCTAATCCATGCAAACGATTTCACCGAACATTGCTCTTCTAAAATGTAAAGAAACAAAAGCAGACGATGGTGGGATTTCAGCAGTGTTTGCGAGGTAGAGTGTCCGATTTCGGTTCCATAAACTCAATGACTGAACACTGCTGCCTGCTTTCGTGTGACAAGCATTCAACGTGCATACAAACGGCGGCCACCGAGCCGAACACTTAGAACACTGAGGTGTGAATCATTTATGAAGGTGTCAATAGGGGTCAATGAGGTTAATGGTTAACAATATTGTAAAGCGCTATGGAATCTGTTGGTGCTATATAAATGGCAATAATAATAATAACAACAAGCATATGGGTGGGCTGAGTATGGGAGGTATAACAAGGGGAGTTTGTAGTTTTGTTCAGTTACCGCTCAAAGCTGGGAATAAGTATGTTAACACAGTATTTCTGTGACAGGAACCAATGAAAATCCTCTAATGAGTATTTAAAGCGGCACTGTCATGTCGAACTAACCTTTCCCCAATCGATTCCTCTTCTCTCCCTCTGTCAGAATCTGTTATTCATTTCTTCCTATCTGCTCTAGTTTTCTTTAAAATATAAGACAAAGTAGGGACTATTTCTCTTCTGGATGTATCCTACGCCATTACCAGCTATGACCAGCTGAGCAGCAGAAGTGTGCTTCATTTACAATGGTCAGAGCAATTTTCTAACAATCCTTAGCTTTCCTCCCTGTTCCCGCGATGCTTCCTGTCAGTATTGCCAAACGTCCTGTCACTTAAACAGAACTCAATTGCATCCTAACAAAATGAGAACGCAATTCGGGACTTTGTTCGTATCAGAATTTCATTCTAATGAATGAAACTCTGATCCTATTCATTGCCGTGGCATCTTGCAGCCGCTTAGTAGATAACTCCCTAATTCCCATGGAATCAGGGAGCTATCTACCAAAAGGCTAAAAGACCTAAACTGGTCTTTCAGCTACATTTACTAATACTAAGTAAAGATTACTTAGTATTAGTAAATTCTGCCCCTACTCGCTATACCGCGAGTAGGGGCATGTCTAGTAAACAGTGAGCAGCCAGTGGCCCCCCCATTGTGATTTATGCCCCCACCCACCGAGCAGGGGTGGGGGCCAAGGGGGGAGGACAGTAGGTCCCCCCCACATTCTTATTTAGGGCCCCACCCGCCGCGCAGGGGTGGGGGCCGGGGGGCTATTAGGGTGTGTTTTTTTAAGCCTATGGCTGCTCACTGTTTAGTAGACATGTCCCTACTCGCGGTATAGTGAGTAGGGGCATTCGGGAGATTTTAATCTCCCTTATGTTATTATGGGGGTCATATTGCCCCCCATATACTGAGGTGGGACATGGGGGGGCTTAGGAAGTGTTGGGGAGCTAAATATTCAGTGTTTGTTTGTTCGTCAAATTTCTATTCATTCGTCTTTCTGACGAATGAATGAATAGATGAAATTCCCTTCACCTGTCCAAGTGTTTCACTGGGCATGTGCGGGAATCTCACAGTCTATCTAGTGTGGGCAGATGAAGTGTCCCACAGGGACTTCATCTACCCACACAAAGATGGTGGCGCCCTGAATATAGATCGGGCAGAAAATAAAGAATAAAATATTTAATATGAGGGGCTTAGGGGCATTTAGGGGTGACTAAGGGGTCAGTTAGATGTAGTGGAGTCGGGAGGCGGGTTAAAAAAACAGGATTCGGTCATGACAGTGCCGCTTTAAAGAATAGAAAGTATTTTTTAAGGGATTTTCCTGCTTTGAAGCCTCATTTGGCATGGATCGCGCGTGGGACAAAAGGGATTCCTTTTTTTTGCATTGAGATTTTACATTTTTATATATTTTTTTTTGTATTGCGAGATTATGGAACTGTATTTGCCTTTTTTGGGGCTGAAAGCAAGATATTTATAATGGGGGTGGCTAGGGGATTGGGACCATATAGCATCCTAGCAAGCTTGGGTGGATAGGCAATGGCATGTTCATTCTTCATGGTATATTATTATTAGAACCCATACCCACTGTGAATAGGGGC